AATTAATGCTCCAATTCAGAAGCCTTTTGGAAAGGCATTGGTCCTTTCTAAATTGGCATCTTTGAATTCTACGTGATGTTTCTTCTTCATATTGTGTTATTGTATGAAGGAATTTGTAGAGTGTGGGTATGCATGGAGGAGAGAATATTGTAAAGAACAACAATAATAGAGAGCAATGAAGGCATCGTGGTGTGGTGTGGTGTGGGGTCTTTGTTTGTGTCTGTATGAACTCAAAAAGGGGTCAAACCAAAAACATGAACCCTAAATCAAGGGAAGAAAGTGAAAGCATCTTGTAACTTCAAAGGAATCGAGCTATGTATTGGACTTTTGTTTTTGTTTCGTTTCGTTGTATGTAATTATGGGTTATGTTCATGAACTTTAAATTTTGTTTCGGTTTGGTCTATGATTGAATCTTGAAAAAAAAAGAAGGTTAGACATTTGTGTCACTGTTTGGGACGTCATATCACTCAATTTAATATTAGCTATAATCTACATTTGGGACGTGAATTCTATATCTTATGTTAAGATTGGAAGATGAGATTGGTCGGTGTCTACAATATTCGTGTTTGAAGTACAAATTTACAAAGTTAATTGGTATGAGTTTTTTTAGTGTGGAGTGTTACGGTCATGATTGTTCAATAAGTGCTATCTTTGCGAGTCTCGAAAGAGTCCAATTGTGACACACAGTGTCACAACTTCACTGAGAGAAAGTAGATTGTGACTCCCAAACATGGTTGAATGGGTGCCTATCGAGGGTCGCTTATCGCCCCTTGTCAGTCTAAGTGAGGTTATGACGCTCTCTCCCACTTAATCTAATAATCGTCCTCAATACCCTTCAAGGGACACAATCGTTATCGTCATTTTGAAACACAACACGACCATTTAGAAAGTGTGCAATGTCACGGTTATGCTTGAGGCTCAAATTAGAATTGAATAGAATATAGATGAGATTAGGGTTTCTTTTTTGAAAAAAAAAATAATAATTACATTAAAGAAAAGAAAAAGGTGGGAAAAAAAAAGGTGGGCCATAGCACTAAAGATTCCATTATTACCACCAATGGCAACGGCTGAATGGGACGGTCGGATTTGGTCGCCTTTGTCTGATATTTTGTTTCTTAAAGAATGTTTCTTTTCCGGCAAAAATTACTCTTTTTTAGCTACAATTTCCAACCTTCACACGTGTCCTCTTCCCATTGGCCACTTATCTTTCCTTTTAAAAAAATGTTGTGCTCCTTTGCCACGTCGGATTAATGTTCCCAATTTCCATCCTAAACTATGATATTCCATTTTGATTGGACCTTATTCAATTTATATCATTATTTTTTTATAATAAAATTAAAAGAGACTAAAATAGGAATAATTTAAATATATAAAATAATTATATGCATCTGATTCCTTTGATTAAAATTCTTAATTTTAATTAAATGGTCCTAATTAAAAGAATTAAAGTTAGGAGAGGGTCCCATTAAGTTCTTACTAAATCAATATATTCTAATACACATTTAGGGAAGATTCCTCTTGGGAACAACACCCTATATCCATCCATACTTTATAATATATACTTTTTATATATATAATATATATATAAAACTTTATAATATACACTTGGGGAAATTTCCCACATTTTGAATTAAGGTATTCCAATTATAAAAAGGAGATTCTCTAACCTCAAATTTAATTTCCCACATATAAAAGTGTGATATAGAATATATAATTTATTCCGAGCATAAAATGATTGTATAGAAAACATATGCCTACATGATTTCGAGTCGGGTGAAATGAAATGACAAATTGTTCGAGAGAATCGACCTTTTCCCATGTAACATCCAAGACTCCGTGCACGACCCAAATCATTCTCACTATAAGGAAATTCGAGTTCCTAGCGCGTGTCTCCAGACTCGAACCCATGCTCTCGACCTTGATTGACCAACCGCTCGTGCCACATGGCAGCATGTGAGCGTTCGTCCTTCTCCCTCAGGGGCGAGTGAGATGCATTTTAAAACTTTGAGAGAAAGCTGAAAGAGAACAATATATGGTAATGGTGGGCTTGAGTTGTTACATCCCATTTGCACAGTGTTGTATCATTTCGAAACAGTGTTTGTAACGACCTAGATCCACCGCTAGCAGATATTGTTCTCTTTAGCTTTCCCTTTCGAACTTCCCCTCAAGACTTTAAAATGCGTCTGCTAGGAAAAGATTTCCACACCCTTATAAATGGTGGTTTGTTCTCTTCTCCAATCAATGTGGAACATCACAGTGTTAGTCTCGTAATAATAAAGATAGTAATGTTCGGGAAAAGAGTACAATCGTAGATAAAAAAGAAAAGGGCCCTTGGGGAGGGCAGGTGTACCTTAAGAAAAAGGGTAAAGATATGATATTGAAGGGATGGTATAGGGTTGAAGATATGAAGAAAGAAACATTTAGGACAGTACTTATTTGGGGAGAGGGGAAGGTGTCCTTTATCCTGCCCACTTTGAGGGGTACCCCTCCACTTCACTTATCCAAAACTGAGAGACATCAGTACCAAATGTACGGCACATTGACCCTAAAGTCCTCAATTTATTTAACACTTTCTTCTATTATTATTAGGTTAAAGACAATAACTTCCAAGCCCTCTAGGGTAAATTCCAAGTACAATTTAGTTTGTACTAGATCCTTTTTTTTTTCTTTTTTTAAAGTATTCCCACAAATAATGCTCGTTCGTCTATCTGATCGAGTCAATCAGACCTCGACATTTCACGTGTGACCATCAGGTTGTGACAAATTTGTCGCGGAGTTCAGGTGATGGAACAAGGTACGGGTACATCTCTTCTTTTGTTGAACTGTCTCAGCTACCATGTTGGTCAACATGTCTCGAACTTTCACACCAATCATTTGTGCTTGGATGTCAGTGCTACATGACCTAAATAATTGGCATATTTCGTTGAACTATTTGAATCTTTTACTGTACGTTTGTTGGACTTATTATCCTGAGAATTGCTCGAACAATTGTATTTTTAAATATCAAAATAATGTCGGTAACCGGTCGAAAAGATCATATTTATTGTGATTATTAGACTAATATATTTAGGATTTAATCTGAGAATGTATCATGTGTCATGCACGTACGAAAGTTACCGTATACTCTTCCATCTGATGATGGAGTTTCAATCAAATCGGGTAGACAACTGCCCCATCCGCAGTTGACGTTCACTTGCTTCGTTTGCCGTCCGTTAAAATGATCACGCCATCCTTCGGCTGTAAACGCGAGTATCCATTTTCTTAAGCGCGTCACTCGCCACCTCTTTCAACAATTTCTCCTTCCTTTCACCATTTTGAAACCAAAGAGAGGTTGGTTTTATTATAAAGATTTGACCTTTACTATTTTGCTTATAATATCATTGAGAAAACTCATCCCTTCTTAATAAGAAATACGAGATTGGGGGAGGAGAACGAATGACAAGGGTGTGAAACACCTCCCTCGTAATAGACGCATTTTAAAAATTTTGAGGGGGAAATCCGAGAGGGAAAGTCTAAAGAGGACAATGTGTGATAGCGGTGGACTTGGGCTGTCACAAATGGTATCAGAGCCAGACATTGAACGGTATGTCAGCGACGAGGCTGAGCCCCGAAGAAGAGTGGACACGAGGCAGTGTGTCAGCGAGGACACTGGGTATTGTGTGGGAAAGCCCGTGTCATAATGTTTAGAAACACTCGATCTAAAAATCTTGAGAGAAAGCCCGAAATACAAGTCTTCTCGAGATAGGAAGATCAAAAAGAATGATATACAAAGGTATATGTTAATGGTTAGAAGGAAGGAGGAAGAGGAATGAAGATAGGGTTATTGGTGGGTATTGTGTGGAGGTGAAAAGAGAGGGCTCAGAATCAGAGCCACACCCACACACGCACACACACTGCTCATAGTTCTTGTCATCAAACAACTCCACATCCCCACATATAATAATTGATATAGCTTCATTTTGTTTCTTCACAAACAACCAGGCCCCCCCTCCCCCCACCCATCTCCTTCTCCTCCTTCTTCTTCATCAATAATAATACACCAATTTCTCTTTCTTCTTTTTGCATGAGAGATGAACCCTCCATGCATGAGAGCTTAAACGAGCAAATTTGAGGAAATACAAGTAAGTAACACATCTTCATTGATTAGGAAATCAAAAGCAAAGTCACGAGAGTTTATGTTCAACGTGGACAATATCGTACCAGTTACGTCAGTAAGTGGGTTGTTGTTTGTTTGATGAACGGATCGAAGGTTTTTTTTTTTTTTTTTGGTGGGCTTTTGAGAGAGTGATGAGAGCAGGAGCTGAGTATCTATCTTTATGAAATTTGAATAGAAAAAAAAAAGGAGAGAAAAGCAATGCCTTTTTTGGGATTGTACAAGTTCTTACCTGATATGGAAAGAAACCCATAACAAAAGTTTGGCCAAAACCACACACATACATACATTAGATTCCTTTCGATACAAAGCCTCTCAAACAACCGACAACCTACCACTCTCTCCCTTTCCTTTCTCCTTTTTTTTCTTTAACATACTTAATAATATATTAGGGACATTCATACCAAAATAACCTAATCCTTCCCATAATAGTGACCCAACTTCTAATATACATGCACACACGAGAGAGTCTCTTGTGTGAAGATCACAGGAAGAAACGAAAAATTAAACTATATTCATTTTGATTCATAAAATTTTAACGTAAAAAACTTTTACTACATTTTCTATGTTTAAGTTGGACGTTTTTAGTACAAGTAGAGTTGATTGTTCGGGTTGGGTGATAGTGTGCATTATACAAGAATCTACATTCATTTTTGGTATAATCAAAATATGAACCTTGAATTTTAAAATTTTGGTCAATATATTTTTAAGTGTTCCTAATTATGATTATTATTTAATTAATGTGAAAATAGGAAAGATTGGATAATTTATCCTAAATTGAAATACATAAGAAATTAGGAATTTATTAAAAGTATAGAACTAAATAGCCATTGGCAGAAACTGATAATTTAACCCCAAAAAAAGAAAATGAAGAAAGTAGTGATTTCTACAACAGGTGGGGTCGGTTAAATAAATTGGGTTTTCACATCAGGATTCCTCGGGAGGGGGCAAAAATTAGAAAGAAGGAAAAATTACAAAGAAGAAAAAGGAGAACTGAGACCTTAATGAACAGTAGTGTGTGCTGCAGTGGGTATGAGAGGGTCAGTTTCATGATTACTGCACAAAATCTGCTCCAAATTTGTCATCTTTTTCGTACTCTGAGTTTCATCCTTACCGTTTTCACTGCTACGATGATTTTCTGAAGAAGAAGAAGAAGAAGAAGCTGAAATTGGCAGCAATGGCGGATTGCAATTAGAAGAAGCCTTTGTTAGTTGCATCGCTCTTTCAACTTGAACCATCCAATCTGTTGTGCAAAGTACATAAATCATCATCACAGCGCATGAACCTTGAGCCGCAAGCAATCCAATCCACAGCCCTGCAAATCCCAATTTCACCACAAACCCCATCAAAATCGCCACCGGAAAACCCACCAAATAGAACGACCCCAAATTTATGTTTGCTCCCGTCGTCGGCCGAGCACTTCCTCTCAACACCCCGCAGCCGGTGGTTTGTGGGCAGTTTCCCAGCTCACAGAGCCCCACAATCGGCAATGCCACCGCTGTGAGTTCCAAAATATCGGCGTCGTTGGTGAAAAATCTGCCCCATTTGTGCCTCATTAAAGTGGTAAACACCATGGCCGCCACGCCGAGTGCGGCGGCGCAGGCGAGTGAGACGATCATGGAAATGCGAGCTTTGGCTGGTCGATTTGCCCCTAATTCGTTTCCAACTCTGGTAGAGACACCAAGGCTGAGAGAGGAAGGGAAAACGTAGACCAAAGAAGTGGTTTGAATCAAAATCCCCATTGAAGCAATTGTGGCCTTGGGATTTCCTAGAAGCCCACAAAGCATTATCATGAATTCGTACCACCACCATTCAAGGCAAACAGAGACACAAGTAGGAATTGCAAGAGAAAGCAGAGGAGCCCATCCATGGAGGCAATCCACACTTGGAGAAACCCAAGAATCCTTGTAAACTCCAGAGAAGTAAACGAAAGAAGCAAGGAACAAGAAGACGTTCAAATTGAACCAAACCATGGCAATGGCCACTCCAGAAATCCCCATTTTGAAATGCACAACCAGAAGGAAATTCAGGGGAACATGGAGCAAAACAGAGAGAGCAGAGCAATAAGTCAATGGGAGGGTAATGCTTTGAGTTCTCAAGTAAATTCGAAGTGGGTGAAGAAGGGAGAGGAAAATGAGGTCCGGAATTGAGAAGAGGATGAAAGTTTGAGCGACGGTAGAGATTTCCTCATCTTGGCCACACCATAAGAGGATTCTCTTCATGTTGAGCCACATGAAGGAGATGGGAACAGAAGAAGTGAGTAAGAGGAGGACAGTTCTTTGAAGCGTTATGCCAAGGAGTTTCCATTGCTTAGCTCCATAAGCTTGGCCGCAAATGGGTTCCATCCCCATGGCCAACCCAGAGAGAACAGAGTAACCAGTGATGTTAGCAAAGCCAATCGAGAGAGAACCCCCTGCAAGTTCAAGCTCTCCAAGGTACCCAAGAAAAAGCATGGAGATCATAGCTCTCGAGTACAAAAGCAGCCCTGTAACCGCTGTTGGACCAGAAATCTTCCCTATTTCCTTCATTTCTTCCACAGCCTGAACAAATAACGCACAAAAAAAACACAAAGTTGAAAACTTTAGTAAAGAAAGAAAACAATTTCATTCTGGGGTCGAGGAGATTCTGTTTATTAGTACGAAATTACCTCAGAAAGAGTTGGAAATGTATGAAGCTGAGCAAGTTGATCATCAGCAGGTTTGAGAAGATTGTTATTATGAAGATTACTACAATTAATATTGTCCAAATTCTTGTTGGGAGTGGCAGTCATGAGGTTGGTTTTGGTTTTGTAGTTAGGAGGAGATGGTTTTGGGTTACACATAGCTCTACCTATACCTTATTAGCTACCACAATCTTCTGTTCTAATTCCTTCTTCTATCTGATATCTGTATTTGAGGGATAAAATAGATAGATATAAGATTGAGAGTAAATGACTCTCTCTCTCTCTCCTCCTCTTCTCTCTCTCCTCTTCTCTGATATTTTGGTGTATTTCTTTGTAAGAGCTTCTCGAAATGGAATGATGAGAGTGAATGGGAGAATGGGTTTATATAATAAATAGAGGGATTGCCACCCCACAAAATTTCCTGCCGTCCTATTTTCGAACGTGTCTCTATAAATCAACGACAGTTTACAAGAAAGAAAAGGTTAGGGGCCGACTGTCCTTCTTAAAAGCCTTCATCAACTTTTCGACCCCATTAGCACAAAATCATTCCATCACAAGAACAAACAGATGGGATATGGGGGAGCCAAGATTTTCAAACCTCTTTTATCTTATCTTGAGGTACAAGTGAAGGCAATTGAAAATTGAAAAGGATTATTTTGAAACCGCCACAAACCCATTTGGGAAATTTTATTCAATTTGTGAGTAGTGGGAATTAATATTCATAATGGGAAACTGAGTGGATAATCTTTTTTAAGACTCCAATGTCTTGTGGTTGAGTTTTGAAAATATGGCTGAAAGGGATAAAAGAAACTTATCTTGTAAAGTCAAGTGGACGAGGAGTTCGAGAAACAAAATTCTTTGAAATGACAGGGAGCATATAAACTGGTGGTTTATATTTTTCTTTTGGGGGTGCTTTCTCTGGAAGATTACTGGCTTATAGCTTCTATCATCTTCGTAGGCAAAGGAGATGTTTGCATGTTCAAAAGCAACATGCATGTCCGATTCTTGAACAACCCATGTGGGAAATCATCATATCCATTATTACAACCACAACTCCATGTGTCTGTAACAATTTCAACGAAAAAAATCGATAAAGTGGTTCGACTGTTATCGATCTTGGTCAAGAATGAAGGGGAAAAGAGAACAAAATATGTTCTGAAACAACTTTATCCTTGATATTCTGTGGTGACGGTTCATGTTGTTCTTCACAGATTTTGGTTTGGTCGTGGGGATGAGATAAAAAGGAGTGAAGGATGTGGATTGGGAGGAATAATATTTAACATATACTTGAAATGGGTTAACATCTGCACTCCATTTGCTCATTTGGACCTATTATTATTCCAGGTGGGTAACTTGGGCTTAGAGCAGATAAACCAAGGGAGGAGCAGTGAATTTCTCAGGGTCAAATCCACCACAGGATGCTTAGAAATGCAAAAAGAGGAAGGAAAGGGGGGTGGAAAAAAATCCCCCCCAAGAACTGTTTGTCATCTTATTTGGTTGGTTTTAGAGGATTAAATAGAAACAGGATTCTTCATGGGTGTGGTGCTGCAAGAGGGCATAAGAATGGGACCACCTGATGGTATGTTAATGGGGAAGGTGACAGTGGAATGGCTGTATGAAGGAGCAGATGGGAGAAAGGGAACACACAGATTTAGGTGCTCCAATTACAACCATTAAATATGTATCCCTTTTCTCCCTACAGAGATGAGTCTGTCTCTCTTAGAGGGAAGAGCAGCTGGGGGACTGTGTCCTTACCTGAGGCACAGAACCCTATCATCATCACCCAGCCACCCTCTGAGCAGCAACAGCAGCAGCAGCAGCTGCTGCTGCACAAGGACCAGTTTTTCCTTCGTATAGGATATTACATCTCTGAAACTCATAACACAATCCAATGTCAGATCCCATGTGTCTTTGGCTCTATCAGTTGATATGGGTGAAAGGTAAGTATCAAGCAACAGAACCCTGTGGACAAAAACAAATAAATTCAAGTAAGAAAAGATAAAAAAAATTATAAAAGGAAAAAAAAACAGGTCAGTAAGTACACTACAGATTGAATTTTTTTGCAGTTTGGGGAAGCAAAATTGGTGGGGGGAGGGGTCCATAAAATTCTAGATCCCAAACAGGATTGAAGCAAAAGAAGTTGAGAAGCAGCAAAAAGTATCACATGTTGATGCCCATGCACTTGTTCCCTTCCTCATCAATCAGAAAGCAAATTAATCAATACCAAGTTGTTCTAATGGAGATCATACAGAATTTTGATTGGCATCATGGCAAACAGGTAATAATAAATGCCAAAACAAGTTTCTCGAAAACGATCTGCAGAAGTTGACAAGACAGAAACTTGACACCAATAATAAAGATTATACGCTTCCAGACACTGGAATAGATTCACCATCGTTCCTCCATACCAAGCTCTCTTCCTTCTTTTCAATTGAAAATTTGATTCTCTAACAAGATTCTAAACAACTTATTAGACCTAACATCTCCTTTCACCACACATGAAAAAAAAATGTATTTAACTGGATAGCACTCATGCTTTCTTCATCAATGGCAGTATCTTTTCTGGAATGAAAATGTATTAATTGTATTCCCACTGTGTTTTCTGAATTCAAGCACTGATTATGTTATCACTTAAAAAGAATTTTATTCTGTAGTTATGCTCTCTCCATTTAAGATAGCCAAAGAACAAAGGAATATTACCCTCCAAACAACCATTTCATGATACTTCTCATCATACATTTCAGGAAGCATAGCAAACCACATTAGTTGGTCAATGGAATCAAACATGGGGAACTTATTCTAACGTGTAGATGCAAGATCAGAGAGAAGCTAAAATGAACCTTTAATAACAATAAAACCAATTTATCCAAGCATACTGTCGCTCATAATCGCTTGAGCTTTCTTTAACAAATTAACTAAAAGCATAAAAGAAATGTCCCCATCAGGGTTTCAATCAGCGCAATGCACTAAATAACTGTTGCCCACCAAGCACATTCCAGCATACTCATACAGAAATTCATGCACAAATGAATGAGAATCCAATACATTGTGATTGAACCACCAACGCACTAAATATTGGCTTAGAAGAAAATGATACTTCATATGGAATAATTCCCAATCAGAAGCATTACCTTCGTTGGTAAGAAACTAGTCCTCCGAGTAATTTTGGAATCCACAGCTCAGGCTTCCCCACTTTTAACGCAAAAATTGTCATAAAGCAACATTTCCATGAGGTGGGACTGATGTTCATAAAAGCAAATTCCTCACTGTTTGCAGATAACTTGTCTCTCTCAGCATTTGGTGACAGCTAATTCCATAATTATCAATGACTAGCCAGTATGTCTGCTTAATCAATATCTTGTTTTACCTCATCTGTCGCTTACTAATATAAAGCACCCATCAACGATCACACCAGCGCTCCCCCAATGTATAGACCACACCTCCTTCCTACTGAAATCTACTAAACAAGCTTTTCCAAACCCAATGCAATTTGCATCAAAATTCAGATCAATTATCTTGTTCATCATGGATGAGATGCACACCAACCAAGCTTTTTAAATATTCTGACAATCAACTAAGGGAACTTTTTAAAAGGAGAAACCCTGTATAAACAGAGTCTCATAATGTTTATTTAAAGCTGTTTACAAGTTTGTAGGATGAGTTGAACGGTTTTCCAATGGATATGATAAGTTCTATAAAAGAAAAGGAGAAACGGATATAGCTGATTACCTCATGTGAGGGTTCTGTGCTTCTGAGCAGTAGACCGAGGAAGAGCCAAGATGGCAATGAGGCCACTTGCAAAGGCTGCAAGTGCTGCCAGAGCAAGAGCTGGAGAGTTCCCACCACCAAACAGCTGATCCTATGGTCCACATCTCAGGAACACCACAACCTATTATCAGAAACAATAAAATTAGTGAAAAGATAACCACAAAATGGTTAAGAAAAAAATGGACGACAAGTTACTAATAGCATTCTACCACCATTTGTTGTTATGAGAGCAAATATGGTGATTGAAATTGTGAAAGCCCAAGTCCACCGCTAGCAGATATTGTCCGCATCGGCTCGTTATGTATTTCCGTCAGTCTCACAGTTTTAAAATGCATTTATTAGGGAGAGTTTTCCACACCCTTATAAAGAATATTTCATTTCCCTCTCCAATCGATGTATGATCTCACAATCCACCTCCCTTCGGGTTCAGTGTCCTCGTTGGTACACCGCTCGCTGCCTAGTTTTGATACTATTTGTAACAGCCTAAGCACACCACTGGCAGATATTGTCCGCTTCAGCCCGTTATGTATCGTCATCAGTCTCACGGTTTTAAAACGCATATGCTAGGGAGAAGTTTCCACACCTTATAAAAAATGCTACATTCTCCTCTCCAGCCAACATGGGATCTCACATAAATAGCTTTACGAATATTAGATCAATTAGTTAAAAGAATTTCTTAATACTAGATGATGCAATCCCTCCACTGGTAAAATAATTGGGTTACAACTACAACTGCATATGCAACATTTTCAGGACATGACATGCACTAGAGACTAAATGCTTGACTTTTATTATTTAAATAAAAAGAAGAGAAAAGGAAAAAAACTCAAGTGCAATCCCAAACAAGCTTTGAGTCTTCAGAATGTCTCATGCAATTACTGTCTCTCAACAAAGTAACCAGCCCCACCCTGCTGTTCTGTTCTGAAGCAGACAGAAGCACAATGTATGGGACCAAGAAAATAAATGGCTTTGTGAAACATAATTATCCCGCAGAATTGCTATACTGTTTTTATCTTTAAGCCAGAGATGTAAAACTAGACCACATATTTATGAGAACTGTCCCTTCCTCAAAATTTAAATTGAATCATGTGGCGTATATGTTTATGACAAAAAAAAAAAAAGTTCAGCTAAGATTAAAATGTTTTACTACTATGGCCTTCAAAGTCTACCATATCTTACAGATCAAAATATGTTCCTGACAATGTTACCTAAGGCAACAGCCAAATCTTTCAGCTGGATTGAATCCTACAGAGAGGCCCACTAACGACCAAAAAGCTTTGAAGAAACAACAAAATGTTATGTCAAATCATTTTATTTCGATTACCATCCATTACATATTGGATAGTGAGTCCAGGACTACAGATATGGACGAACTCTAATCCTCTCCCTGTGATTCCACATGGAAATGTATATCATCTGCATCTCTAAATCTTTTCCCAAGACAAAAGGCAAATTGACCAACGGGGATATCCACAACTGGATTTTCAAGAGAAGTTTGTCTTAGTATGTCCCTGAAAAAGGCCAGTCCAAAATTGACAATCTTTCTCATTTAACAAAACCAAATGATTAAAGACAGAGCGCACGAACTGTAATGTTCCTTCATTATTTCAAAATAAAACCTTCAGTGTTTTCCTTCTTGCAGATAAAAGTTGAGAGAACTCATGTTTTCCCATGTTAACTGCACTTATATCCCTTCCAGCAATAGAAGGTTCCATGCATTTCGTCAATGATTTTGATAACAGTGAGTATAAAGACTATTTATAGATTAACTTGTCCCTTTGATGTTGGTTGATATTGTGCATAGCTTCTACATAATATGAACAACCACTTCTAGTTTTTCATTTGAAGAAGGCAACATCAATCCTGCCTTGATCAAGTTGTAAAGATTCAACACGCGAGGAGTTCATGGCATATTGAACACTGTAATTAATCTGCAAAGAACTATTCCAATAAACAAATAAAAGTGATGCTTAACTGGACCTCCGTCATGCGTCATCACAAACTGATTAATTTAATGTAGACTAAAATTTCCAAATCCAATATGACATACAAGTAAATTTATCCTTGAAATCTCCATGTTTTCATCTAATGGCAGTACTATTTGTGCTAAAACAAGAAAGAAGGGGCAAAAAGAAGTAAGATAAAACATGTGCGACCACATTTTATACAAGAAAGGAACTGCTTACTGCCAAAGGGGCACCAAGAAGAGCAAAGTTAATCAATGCAGCTGATACAATACTATTTGGTGGGATATCATGACCTATGTAGCCCATATTGTTTGCCTCATACGTAATGACCAAGATAGTAAGAAAACATAAAGCCATAAAAATATTAGAGATTCTCCATATAAACCAGCACCCACTTTCTGCACAGCTTCTCCATAAGTAATGAAGCTATTCCAAGGACAACAGAGTTATACCAAATGCTCCCATTCTGACTCCAGAACTATAACTCTGTCCTTCATTTGGCTTGCCACCATAAAGCTCTCTACCCATCCAATCAGTATTAAAAGGATAATAATTATAACTGGAAACCATGCCATCCTTGTCAAGGAACTGACAAGCAAAACTACCCGCATATACCCAGAGAGGTGCTAAAAGTCCAAAACCAAGGAGGACCTGTCCCTGGAAACTAGAGGTTGCTCTTGAGCTACTAATACACTAAAATATGTTCTAATTGCAATGAACACGATAAAAATCAAGAAAGCTGACTTCACAATTAACGGAACATTAAGAGGTAAGAGTAAACAGCAAGAGATTGTACCAGCCATCAAAGATCCAGTGGCATACCCAAAAACATTACCAGTGGCGATAAATAGAGAAAAATAAGCATTTGCCACCCGATTCCTTCAATAATCCTTACCTAGCACAACATTAATTTTTTGAAAATGCAAGTGTCTCGAGGTCCACACAACATAAGAGCTTTCTTAGGTTTAATAGAATATGTCACAGCCACAAGCAGGTACCACAAATGATCGCTTTGGTTAGAACAATAAACTTTCAAGATTCACATTAATTTATCATTACAGAACAAATATTTTATACGCGACTAACTTGTTAAAACCTTCTGCAGTTTGGCACAGTTTAAGAACTTAAACTCCCTTGGTTTTATGGAATCGCGATTTCTACCTTTAGTTTTTCTGACTACATACAAAAATAATGGAACAAGCGGGGAAACTTAGAGATTAATAATGACATACATTGGAATTATAACGGAGAAATCACAATATAAACACACACTACCAGCCTTAATCCTAAAATTAGTAGCATATTACTTCAGTAAATTGGAAGGCATCCTAGCAACAGTTGAAGGAAGCTAAGCATTTTCAACTAATGATACACTAACAGAGGTATCAAAGTTCAAACGTCATACCAAACAACATAGCGATAAGAAGAGGTATTAGCGACGACGAGAATCCGCAAACCAAACACAAAGAATCCAATCGCACGAGGCCTAACGTGACCACGAAGAATCCAATCCAATCACAAAGAATCCGTATCGGCTGGTGCAGCGATCGCTCATGTGACCAACGAGCGACTGGACAAAGAGGCCGAAAACCGGTCCACAGAGCCACATGAGACTAAGACCAAGCGTGAGGAATACCGATCCCATCCGGGGTCGATCATATGAGAATTAATGGTCACGTAATGGACATATGAGACTCTTAACAAACTTTCAAAGGTATCAACTTAATTAGGTATGACCAATCCCACGTGGGGTCGGTCATATAGACGATAGGTGTCATAATCACACTCTCACGCAATCTCACGCGAAGTTTGTAAGTAATTGTGCAACACACACTCTCACTATTGAGATACCCATCGACTACGTATACCCAAATCTCGAGCCCTACTTTAAGAAAATTTTAGAAAACGGGGTCAGAGAGATTTTAAAAGGAGAATCTGATTTGAGAGAACATATATCAAGTCCTATACATCATAAAAATGATGAATAAAAGTAATAAGAGATACAATGCAAAGAGATTGACATGCGGCTATAGACAATACACATTGGACAAGCATGACCGTGACAATGGGTAACCCTATCATTGAATCTTGGCTAACCACGTTTAGAGTTGTCCACGCTATCGAGGCGGACCCCATAGGGTTTGAATTTGGTATGTTTTAGACGCATCATTTGTCCATAAGTTAGGATTTGGTTAATAGAAAAGCACATTGGTGGGCTTAGGGGACAGAAGGAGCCATGACCCTAGCAAGGAGGTTGCACACAGTCCACGCCACGTCATGCAAATGTAAACAAGTAAACAACAAACACGAACCACCGTTTCCACCTTCCACGAAGCCAAGGGTTAAAATTATCCAAATAATTGTTTGTATTATATTAAAATACAATCATATTGTTATTAATTGAAATATTTGGTTATGACATCATAATTTCTCCGTCGAATCAAACTAAAAAATAGAAGTTCTCGTACCTCCTTTCAGTTCTTCTCCTACGTCTCTCGAGCACGTTCTTTTCAAAATTCCCTCGACACCCATCGAGACTCTTTAATATATTGCTAATTTACGTGTTTAAAATAGTTTATATATATATATATATATATAGGAATATTTGAAATACTTAGTAATTAAGCTAGTTTAATTAAATATATAGATGACGTCATTTAATCAGCAATTAAATATATTATATATACACTCATTAGTCAAAGTCAGAGGTCTTATGGTTTTCACAACAAAACAAAAAATAAATTAAATTAAAAAGAAAAAAGAGTGAGATGGCTTAGTCGGTTATGTTTTTAAACAAACAAAATGTTTTTTTTTTCAATAAATAAAAAATTTCAACTTAAAATATCTTCGTAATTAAATTTAAATACACAAAATATAACTAATTAATTTTAAAATATGAATATTATTAAGATTAATCTTTTATTTTTTTATTATGCAATTTCTTTATTTCGAGACTAAAATAAGTCTCTTGAAAATAAAATAATAATAATAATAATAATAATAAAAAGTTTAATTACGTGTCAGAGGAATTGACGCGGCAACCCGACAAGCAGCGAGGAAATTGGATTTAACTCGAAAACCAACCGGCGAAGGCAAAAGGCATATTCCCAATTTGACGACCGCCATTGCCGAACCGACACGGCGCCGATACGCTCTGCAACTCTCCGCGCTCCAATCACTGGTTTACACGTTTCAGCTTCGTTGGTTATATAAATCCCCGAACCCAAACCACCTCCCCTGTTCCAGTTAACCCAACCAACCACCTCCCCTGTTCCAGTTTCATCGGCAGCTCCGCCGCGAAACATGGCACACCCACAACCCGTCCTTCCCAATTTCCACAATTTCCACGAATCCTGGCTCAGCACCCAACAATCCTTCCTCCAACAGCTTCTCGATTCCGCAGCCTTACAGAGCAACGACAAGGAAGACGCCCAATTGCGCTTAATCGCCCAAGTCCTCGCCCACTACCAGCAATACTACGACGAGCTCTCCAAGGCCGCCGCCGAAGACATCTTCCAAGTCCTCTCCGCCCCATGGCTCACTTCTTTTGAGCGCACCTTTCTTTGGATTTCTGGCTTCAAGCCTTCCCTCCTCATCCGCCTCCTCTTCGCCGCCGTCAACGACTTGACCCCAGCGCAATCGGCTAGACTGAACGAGGTCAGAGCTGAGGTCAAGTGGAAGGAGAGGGAGTTGACTGATGCTATGGCTAGTTTGCAGGAGACAATAGCGGCGCCGCCGATGTTGGAGCTGGCGCGGCGGGTCGGAGCTGGGAGGCTTGTGGATGGAGAGATTTGTGAAATGGAAAGTGCGATAGAGGAGCTGAAGATGGGAATGTTGAGGGTTGCGGATAGAGCGGATTTGCTGCGTGGGTCGACGGTGATGACGGTGGTGGAGATTCTGAATTCCGATCAGATGGTGAGGGTTTTAGCGGCGGTGGTCGGGTTTCAATTGCGGATTAGAAGATGGGGCCTTCAGAGAGATTGAATTTAATGGGCTCAACTCAACCAATACAAAGGCCCATTTCCAGGCCCATTTCATGCTTCAAAAATTTTCAATTTTCTTTTTCTATAAACCAAAAAAAAAAAAATCAATTTTAAAGTCTTTTTCTAATGAAAAAAAATATAATATTTAAGTTTTTTTTGTTTTTGTTTTTTTTAGGATAAGCCGTCTCTCAAATAATAGGAAGGGATTCCATGATTATTAAGTGACAGCGGGATCTATTTTTGGTTGTGTGTCCACCTGTGCCCACCTAAAAAACCAGCTTAAAAAATGATGAGTCGGTTGTGGGAGGTAAGGATCCGTATCAAGTTAGAATATCGTTGTTAGTTTGGTACCTCTAGGGCTAATAGCTCTCTAGGATTATAGACACTCGCTACTTCTAACTGTCAATGAAATGGAGAGTGCCAGATGTGAAATCAATTCCAGTCCTAGTTGCTGAGGTGGCATAGTGAGAGGTGAGAAGAATAACAAGAGAAGCAACGGAATATCCAGCAGTACGGTGGAATAGATTCAAGTGTTCGAGCTAGTAGATCCAGAGCAAATAGGCGTTGACTTAGTTGCTTTTACAGTAGATTTTAATCTCGATGTTGATCAGAGGCAACTTACCAATGATAGTCGTAGCATCAGGAGCTTTCAAGGGAGGCAGACATGTATATCTCGATAGTAGCCATGATATACATTCCAGATTAAATAATATATTTTGACCTAAATTTCGTTATATATTCTTATGTTTTGATTTGATTAAATATTATTAAAAATATCCTCCACTTATATAGGTGACTACGAACACCGAGACATAGGAAGCTTCCTAAATTTCATCGATAGTTTAAATTACGAGAAAGAAAAAATTCCTAGTCAAGTACAACGAACTAGGTCAATTTTTAAACTTTGTTTGAATTCAAAGTTGGATCGAGAATATGAACACAATTTTTAGATATAATAATACTATTTGTTACCAACCAAAATATCAGTCGAATTTAATAATCTAAACGATTCGATTCCTTTTCTGATTACTCGAAAAATTTATTAATAAATTAAAAGGAGAATATGACGTAAAATACAGTAATACCTTAGGAGAATCGAAGGGCCCTATGGAGGTTGAAACTGGACCAAATAGATACCATAAGCCAACGCTTTCGAACACTAATTAAAAATTTAAAAATTAAAAACTAAATACTCCACATGATTTTCAAGTTCCCATGATATTGTTTCCCAATGTTTTAAATTATTAACATAAAAAAACATGCACGCCTATCTGGCAACAATATTTCGACACGCGTCCCACAAATAAGAATTAAATAATAATCATTAACCAATCATATTTTTGCTAATTTTACTCTTTTTTTTATATTATAAATAATATTTTTAGCTATTAAACTTTTACTAAATTAACAATTTTGATACTACCATAAAAGTTATTTTATATATTTTTACACTATTAGCTCAATTAATAAAAATATATATTATATTTATAAAAGAAAAACTATTAATAAAATTTCATTTTATATAAAAAATTAAAAATATCCTTAATAATATAGGATTGAAACTCTTAATATCGCGTTTAAAAAATATTCATAAACGTACTCATCTATTTCAACTTATGACTCGATCGGAGTAGTATGGGGCACGTGGAATCTCGTGTGAATCAGCAAGGACTACCTTGCAAGGTTAAATACTCCTGGATGACTGATAGTGAAGTAGTACCGTGAGGGATGGGTAAAAAAAAGAACCCAGGGAGTGAAATAGAACATGAAACCGTAAGCTTCCAAGCAGTGGGAGGAGATCAAGATTCTGACCGCGTGCACGTTGAAGAATGAGCCGATGACTCATAGGTAATGGCTTGGTTAAGGGAACCCACCAGAGCCGTAGTGAAAGCGAGTCTTCATGGGACAATTGTCACTGCTGGACCGACCGTGGGGGAAGAGTTTATTAAGATATTAATGAAAAATGGAAAGTTTTATTAATTTAATTTATAATTGGAATATATTTTTTTTTAAAAGAAATAAATAAAAAATGGAAAGTAAATTAAGTATTTGGAGAACATTAGCAGGAAGACGAATCTGGAGATGGAACAGATACAGAGAATGAAACCGCCCGTACTAAGTTTATTGCATCACATGTTGATCCACACTGCCACGTATACACCCCAGCTGCAGCCTGGACACTGGTCACGACCTTTTTCTAATGCCATCAACCTGGACCCTTCAAATTCCACTGCCAATGTGGCTCTCCACGTCAGCCGCTGCCACCGCCGCAGCTCTGTAGTCTTGCCAACGAAGCAACCTCCTCTGTTTTCGCTTCTTTTCTTTCAAGGAAATCAACAATGGCGGCAACACCACCACCACCACCACCACCACTACTAATCTGTCAGTCTATAAATAATTCCCTCCCTCTCCCTTTCCTCCAATACCCCATCCGGGGATTGGCCGAGTGGCGCCGCCGTGACAAACCATGTCGAACCCATCAAGGTCGATGGCTCACTCTGCTTCTGCAATCGAAAATTTCGGGAATTTTTACGAGATATGGCTCACAAGACAACGGGAGTTTCTCAAGGAGCTTCTCCATGTATTGCAAATCGAAGAACACGAGGAGGAGAAGCAATTGGGAGTAATCAATCAAGTTTTGGCGCATTACCAGAATTACCATGAGGAGATTTCCAAGGCGGCCGGAGAAGATGTGTTCAGGGTGTTTTCAGCGCCGTGGTTGAGTTCTTACGAGAGGACTCTGCTTTGGATTTCTGGGTTTAAACCTTCGATCGTGTTCCGGTTAGTGGATGGGGCGGTGAAGGATTTGACGGCGGTTCAGGTTATAAGAGTGGAGGAGCTGAAGGCGGAGGTAAGGCGGAAGGAGAGGGATTTGACGGAAGCACTGGCTAGTTTGCAGGAGACGGTTGCAGCGCCGCCGATTGTGGGGCTCGCACGGCGAGCCGGGAGGCTTGTGGACGGAGAGATTTGTGAAATGGAGAATGCGATTGAGGAACTGAAAATTGGGATGTTGGGTGTTTTTGATAGCGCCGATTTGCTTCGTGGGTCGACGATGAAAAGGGTTATGGAGATTTTGAGGACTGATCAGACGGTGAGGCTTTTAGCGGCGGCGACGGAGTTTCAGCTGCGAATAAGGCGGTGGGGCTTGCAGAGGGATATGCAGGGAACAAGAACAACATGAATCGCCGCCGATTTGGTAGCTTTGAATGTGCGTGTGTATGGCGCCAGCCAATGAAATAAAATAAGTGAGCTTAAATGCTTTGATTCTCCAGGGGAAAATGAAAGTAGAAGTTCCTAATGCAAGTGTCTTAAATTTAGTTTTTCGAGTCGTTTTTAGTTCAACAATATGTGTATGAGTCTACGATTCAAAGTCGTTTTTAGTTCAACAATTTGTGTACGAGTCTACGATTCAAAGTCGTTTTTAGTTCAACAATTTGTGTACGAGTCTACGATTCGAAGTTCTTCTTGTTCATCAGTACTATGTGAGTCTACGATTCGAAGTTCTGTCTTGTTCATCAGTACTATGTAAGTCTACGATTCGAAGTTCTGTCTTGTTCATTAGGACTATGTGTATGAGTCTACGATTCGAAGTTCTATCTTGTTCATCAGTACTATGAGTATGAGTCTACAATTTGAAGTTCTGTCTTGTTCAGCAGTACTATGTGTATGAGTCTACGATTCGAAGTTTTATCTTATTCAACAGTACTATTTGTATGAGTCTACAATTCGAAGTTCTATCTCGTTCATAAGTAATACTCGTCGGTTTGATCTCAAGTCCTAGAACTTATTTCAAAGTTACAATTACAAGACAAAAAATGATTTGTCGTCAATTGGTCAATATTCGAGAAGGAAAAGAAAAGTAACGGAAGAGAATAAAAGGAAACTTGGAATAAGAATTTTATGAACACTTGAATATTATATTGAATTCCATCAATTTCTTTTGCTGTTCAATAATTTTTTTTAGGAACATGGACAGCTAATGTTGACCCACTGCGAAACATTTCTCATAAGAGTGTGAAAAGATCTCTCGAGCAGACAAGTTTTAAAACAATGAGGCTAATGATATTACATAACGAGCCAAAACGGACAATATCTAGAAGTGGTGGGCTTGAGCTGTTACAAATGGTACCATAACCAAACACCAAGCGATATGTCAGCGAGGACGTTGAACCCTCCTTACGGAGGTGAATTGTGAGATCTCACATCAGTTGGTGAGAGAAACAAAACATTTCTTATAAGAGTGTGGAAACCTCTCCCTAGCCGTTTTAAAATTGTGAGGCTGACGGCGATACATAACAACAAAAAACGGACAATATATTGTTAACAGTGGGTTTGAGTTGTTACAAATGATACCAGAGCCAGACACCAATGCCAGCAAGAACGTCATACCTTCAAGGGAGGTGGATTGTGAGACTCCACATCAATTGAAGAAGAGAACGAAACATTTTTTATAAGGAGATAAAAACCTCTTTCTAAGAGACGCGTTTTAGAACCATGAAACCAATACCCAACAGACTATATTTACCAGCAATGAGTTCGAACGGTTAGAAATGATATCAGAGCCAAACACTGACCAATATGCCAATAAGGAACACTAGACCCTCGAAGGGATGGATTGTTAGATCGCACATCGAAACATTTCTCATAAGGGTGTGGAAAACTCTTCCTAACAAACGCAGTTTAAAACCACGAGATCGATAACGATACGTAACAAGCCAAAAGAGACAATATCTACTAACGATGGGCTGGACTGATACCCGGCTTTATAGATTCTCCGCAACAGCAACACATAGTGGGGGAGTATAAACATAAAGTTTCTTTATACAAAGCTATGTGTATCATCTACTACTTTTCTTTGCACCTTTTCCTTTTTATTTAAGTTTTCCTCTCACCTTCCTTCTCCATTATCAGCCATGGCTTTCCCCTCAGCCTTCTTTCTTCTTCTGTTCTTCACTTCCTCCATTGCTTCTTCTCAAGCTCTTACTGCCGCCATAGCCAACCAGTCCCAGTTCTTCCTTCTCATGCAAACAACTGCCTCCGGTGAGCTCCTCTCTAATTGGGATCTTTCACAAGGAAAATCCTTATGCAACTTCACTGGAATCCGCTGCAATGATGGCGGTCATGTCGTTCGGATCGATATCTCCGGCCACCCTCTCTCCGGTACCTTCCCGGACGATGTATGCTCTTACCTGCCATCACTAAGAGTTCTTCGCCTCGCTGATACCGGATTGTCGGGGCGTTTTCCCTCAGGAATCACCAACTGCTCTCTCATTCAAGAGCTTGACATGAGTTCTCTATATCTCAATGGAACAATCCCGGATTTATCGCAAATGAAACAACTCCGTGTACTCGACCTCTCCTACAATTCGTTCACTGGCGATTTCCCCATGTCGGTTTTCGACCTTGTTAATCTCGAGATACTGAATTTCAACGAGAATTATAATCTCAACTTATGGAAATTACCTGAGAAGATCTCTGGATTGAAGAAGCTGAAATCTATGGTGTTGACAACATGTATGTTGGACGGAGAAATCCCTCGATCGATCGGGAACATGACGTCGCTTATTGATCTCGAACTAAGTGGGAATTTTCTCAAGGGAGAGATTCCAAAAGAAATCTCCTTTCTCAAGAACCTGCAACAACTTGAACTCTATTACAATGAACTCACAGGAAACATACCGGAAGAGCTCGGAAATCTAACTGAGCTCGTCGACGTCGACATGTCGGTGAACCTTTTGACAGGGGAGATTCCGGAATCTATATGCAAACTCCCTAAGCTTAAAGTTCTACAGATTTACAACAATAGCCTAACAGGAGAGATTCCAAGTGTATTAGCTAACTCAACAACACTAACTATGCTATCACTTTATGACAATTTTCTTACAGGACAGATTCCACAAAAGTTGGGGAAGTTCTCACCTATGGTCGTTGTCGACTTGTCGGAGAATCGCCTGTCGGGACCATTGCCATTGGATATATGCAGAGGAGGGGAATTGCTCTACTTTCTTGTTCTTCAAAACAGCCTTTCCGGAGAAATTCCGGCGAGTTTTGCTGAATGCCGGTCACTTTTAAGGTTTAGAATTAGTTTTAATCAGCTGGTCGGAGCAATTCCTGAAGGTGTTCTTGGTCTCCCACATGTTTCAATCATTGATGTTGCTCATAATAACCTCACTGGTTCCATTTCAAATTCAATCTCACAGGCTAGAAACTTGTCGGAATTGTTCTTACAAAAAAACAGGATTTCTGGAGTTATCCCGCCGGAGATTTCAGCAGCCACCAATCTGGTGAAGCTAGATCTCAGTAACAATCTCCTCTCCGGCGCAGTGCCGCCGCAGATTGGTAGCCTGAAGAAGCTAAATCTGGTGATGTTACAAGGAAACCAATTGAATTCTTCAATCCCTAGTTCATTGACATCGTTAAAATCCCTCAATGTTCTTGATCTCTCGAACAATCGTTTATCCGGGAAAATCCCAGAAAGTTTGGGTAAATTGTTCCCAAGTTCCTTGAATTTCTCGAACAATCAACTTTCCGGTCCGATTCCGATGTCTTTGATCAAACAAGGGTTAGCCGATAGCTTCTCCGGCAACCCAAATCTCTGTCTTCCACCGGCGTATTTCATTTCATCGGATCAGAAATTCCCCATTTGTTCACAAATTTCCTTAAAAAAAGGTCTAGATTTCATCTGGGTAATCGTAATTCCGTTGCTTATTTTCTTCACCGGCGCCGTTCTGTTTCTAAAACGAAGAAAATCACCAGAGATCGAAAGCAAAGAAACCCTCTGTTCGTCGTTCTTCCATAAACAGAGCTTCGACCAAAACAGGATTCTCGAATCCATGGCGGAAATGAACATCGTCGGCCATGGCGGATCGGGAACGGTTTACAAAATCGAGCTCGGAAACGGAGAAATCGTCGCCGTGAAAAGGCTATGGAATCGAAGAACGAAACATTTCTTCGACAAGGAATTGAAAACAGAGGTCGAAACCCTAGAAACTATCAGACATAAGAACATCGTGAAACTCCACAGCTACTTCTCCGGTCGAAATTGCAGCCTTCTGGTTTACGAATACATCCCAAACGGAAACCTATGGGACGCCCTTCATAAAGGGTGGGTTTATCTCGATTGGCCGACGCGCCGCCGCATCGCGGTGGGGATCGCGCAAGCCCTCGCCTATCTCCACCACGATCTCTCGCCGCCCGTAATACACAGAGACATCAAAACCACAAACATTCTATTAGACGAAAATTACGAACCCAAAGTGGCAGATTTCGGCATAGCCAAAGTTCTTCAAGGAACCAAAGATTCAACGAACTCTGTAATCGCCGGCACATACGGCTACTTAGCTCCCGGTAAGTTCCTCAATCGATTCCTAATTTCAGCAAACCCCATTATCGATTTCGTTTAATTTCTCAAAACAAATCACAGAATATGCATATTCATCGAAGGAGACAACGAAGAGCGACGTGTATAGCTTCGGGGTGGTGTTAATGGAGCTGATCACCGGGAAGACGCCGATTGCGGCGGAGTACGGCGAGAACAAGAACATTGTGTTCTGGGTTTCTAATAAAATGGACACAAAAGAAGGGGTTCTTGAGATTCTTGATGAGAGATTAAAAGGGTTGTTCATGGATGAGATGGTAAAGGCCTTGAGGATCGCCATTCGCTGCACTTACAAGAATCCAGCGCTCCGACCCGCCATGGGAGAGGTGGTTCAGCTTCTCCAAGAGGTCAAAAAGGGCGAAGATACGTATGATGTCACTCAAATAAAGTACCCTTTTTGAGTCCAAAGGATGAACCCTTTTTTCCCTTTTATGTCTGAACTAATTATAATATAATCGTTCCGTGGATATAATATGGCTCGTTTTTACTCGTTTGATAACGTTTTTTTCTTCCCTTTTTGAGGTTTTTTTTGTAAACGTTGTTACCTTTGATTCTTCCTTTCAGTGCTGATGTTAAAGTTCAAAGCTTTTCGTATAATTAACGAGGGAATCCTAAAGAACAGTGTAATAAGTAATCACCTCTCCGATCTGATATCGCATACGAAAATTTATGAGCTAACGACCAATCCAACGAGAGATACCTATGATATCACTCAAATAAAGTACCTTTTTGAGTCCACAATCTAATTGGAGGGAGAGATTTTTATTTCATTTTATTTTAATTACAACCATTTCGGATGATTTGAATCTATGATCTTTCAGTGAATATAAAATTACTTTCTTTCACTCGTATGATAAACGTTATTACTTTCAGCTTCTTATATTATACTTTCTTCTTCCTTTTAGTGCAGATGTCAAAGTTCAAAGCTTTTCGTATAATAACGAGGGAACCCATACAAAAATTTACAAACCGACAACGATTTCAAAAGGGTATTCAAAACCCATCTGAAAAAAAAAAACGAACGTCTCTCATCTCACATATTATTGAACTAATAAACATCAGGGTATCATAGCATAAACGGTAA